AGAACTTCAACGACCAAACTATCGTTGATGAAGAGGGTTATCCTAAATATAGGAGGCGGAATGATGGAAGAACAATCATCAAAAGTGGTGCGCCGCTTGATAATAGATACGTTGTGCCCCACAACAGGTCGTTGTTGATGAGGTACAGTTCTCATCTTAATGTGGAGTGGTGCAATCAATCGAGGTCAATAAAATATTTATTCAAATACGTGAACAAGGGACATGATCGTGTCACAGCGGGATTTTATGAAACATCAGGTAAAGATGACACTGAGAAACCTGTTGATGAAATAAAATTTTACTATGATTGTCGGTATATCTCTCCATGTGAGGCAATGTGGAGAATATTCGGCTTTGAAATTCAGTACAAGAATCCAAGTGTTGAACGTTTGAGCTTTCACTTTCACAACGAACAGTATGTTTATTTTGAAGATGGTGCAACGGTAAGTGACGTCGTGTTGCGTGAATCTGTTAAGGAGAGTATGTTTCTTGTATGGATGAGAGCAAATGCCGAGTACCCCGAGGCAAGGGATTTAACTTACGGCGAGTTCCCTCAAAAGTTTGTTTGGAAAGCAGCAACAAGAGAATTCGTACCTCAGAAGAAGGGGTTTGCAATAGGTCGTCTAACGTATGTGCCTCCGGGGTCAGGAGAATCTTATTATTTGCGATGTGTCCTTAATTTGAGGCGTGGGGCTACAAGCTATGATGATCTTAGAACTATTGATGGAATTATTCATAATACATATCGCGAGGCATGTTTCGCCTTAGGGTTGTTGGATGATGACAAAGAGTACGTTGAAGGATTTTCAGAAGGTAGTTATTGGGCTTCTGCATGGTTACTTAGAGAGTTTTTTGTGATTTTATTGGCAGCAGACAGAGTGAGTAGACCAGAATATGTGTGGGACAAGTGTTGGACATTTATGTGAGATGACATTCTACACAGGCAAAGAAGAGCTTTGATGCATCCAGGTACTAAATCGTTGATATTTTAGACATACATATACCGATACACACACATATGTACGTATATATATATATATTCAAAAGCATACATTATATATTAGGCATGTTCTTTGATACTGCTCTTTAAATGTGTAATATCAGATTTGAAACTTACTGAGGCTGAGATTAAGAATTATGCATTGACTGAAATAGAAATGATGTTGAGGAGAATTGGTAGGACTTTAAAGGACTATCCATCAATGTCATTTCCCATTATAAGTGATGCTGCCATGTATCAGAACAGGCTTATTTTTGACAAATTGCAGTACGATCGTGCTGCCCTACGTGAAGAGCATGATAGATGCATGCAGAGTCTCAATGATGAACAACGTCAGGTGTACACAACCATTCTGCAATCTATTGAAGAAAATCATGGTGGGGTGTTCTTTGTATATGGTTATGGAGGTACAGGGAAAATGTTTGTGTGGAAGACGTTGTCGGCTGCTTTGAGGTGCAAAGGAGAAATTGTTTTAAATGTTGCTTCGAGTGGCATAGCAGCTTTATTGTTACTGGGTGGTAGGACGGCTCATTCACGCTTTGCAATACCAATTAACCCGAATGAGAATTCCACATGCAACATCAAACAAGGTAGTCCACTAGCTCAATTGATCATTCGGTGCAAACTGATCATATGGGATGAGGCGCCGATGATGCACAAACATTGCTTCGAAGCCTTAGATAGAAGTTTGCGGGACATCTTGAGATTCACTAATTCAAATAGTGCTGAAAAACCCTTTGGAGGCAAAACGGTGGTATTCGGTGGAGACTTCAGACAAATTTTACCTGTCGTTACAAAACGTACTAGACAAGAGTCACAAGACATTGTGAATGCCACGATTAATTCTTCCTATATTTGGCATGAATGTGAGGTATTACGTTTGACGAAGAACATGAGGTTGCAATCATTGACTGATGATCATGAATATGAAGATTTTCTTGAGTTTGCAAAGTGGATTGCGAGTTTAGGGAACGGGACTGCAGGGGAAGATAATGATGGCTTTGCCAATGTTCAAATTCCAAACGAGTTTTAGAGTGTGGAAGTGACCCCATTGCCACTATTGTCCAAAGCACCTACCCAAACTTTGAGAATATTGTGAATGACCCAACTTACTTGCAAGAGCGTGCAATTCTGGCTCCAACCCTTGATGTTGTCGATGCAGTCAATGAATACATGACTTCTTTGAATGTTAATGAACAGTCAAGGACATATTTAAGTTCAGATAGCATTTGCAAGTCAGACTTGAATTCTGATTTTCTGGCTGATTTGCATACTCCAGAATTTCTCAACAAAATACGAGCATCTGGAGTTCCGAACCATGAGTTAATCCTAAAGGTTGGTACTCCAATCATGCTTTTAAGAAATATTGATCCTTCGATGGGGCTTTGCAATGAAACAAGGTTAATTGTTACAAGGCTTGGAACTCACATCTTAGGGGCTAAAATTATGGGCGGAAAATATGCTGGGCATGAAGTTGTCATTCCGAGGTTAAGCTTAACTCCTTCGGATTCAAGAATACCGTTCAAGTTTCAGAGAAGACAATTTCCAGTGATGACCTCTTATGCGATGACTATAAATAAGAGTCAGGGACAATCTTTGTCTCATGTTGGACTTTTATTGAGAAAGTCGGTCTTCACGCATGGTCAACTGTATGTTGCAGTGTCAAGGGTAACAAATCCTAAGGGTTTGAAGATATTGATCTGCGATAAAGATGGCCAACAAACTAACCATACGACCAATGTAGTTTATAAGGAAGTTTTTCGCAATGTGTAGGTTGTGAAACCCTATATAACGTTTCCTTTTTTCTGCTTATTCCAAAACATGCTTACTACCTATCTCCGAATTTTCACTATGCCATCTTTAAAAAGATTTTATTATGCATGTTACGTATATGACAAATTCCTTTCATTTCACACAATCAAATAACATATAAAAATAATGTCGTATTCCTATTACATTTTAATATCACGCGCATCGTGCGGGTGAAAATCTAGTATGATCAATTCAAATACATCGAATATTGTCACCGTTTTGAAGTTAATTAATGGAGTTTTGTTTGTTTAATTCGTAACCTTCATTTAGTATTTAGTATTTTAAGTCTATATGATACTTTTAAATACTCTAATTATATTCAAATGGAGTTAAAAACGGATTCAAACTGAATTAAATACATGAATATATGATCAATTCATATACATCGAATATTTTCGCCATTTTGAAGTTAACGGAGTTTTGTTTGTGTAATTCATAACCTTCATTTAGTATTTAGTATTTTAAGTCTATATGATACTTTTAAATACTCTAATTATATTCAAATGGGGATGACAAAAAATCCAAACTGAATTAAATACATGAATATATGATCAATTCAAATACATCGAATATTTTCGCTGTTTTTAACTTAACGGAGTTTTGTTTGTGTAATTCGTAACCTTCATTTAGTATTTAGTATTTTACGTCTACATGACACTTTTATATACTCTAATTATATTCATATTGAGTAAAAAACGGATTCAAACTGAAGTGAATACGTGAATATATGATCAATTCAAATAAATCGAATATTGTCGCTGTTTTGAAGTTAACGGAGTTTTGTTTGTGTATCTTGTAACGTTCATTTAGTATTTAGTATTTTAAATCTATATGACACTTTGATATAATCGTATTATATTAAAATAGAGTTAAAAACGGATTCAAATCGAACTAAATACATAAAGATATGATTAATTCAATAACATCGAATTTTGTTGTCGTTTTGAAGTTAACGGAGTTTTGTTTGTGTAATTCATAACATTCATTTAGTATTTTAAATCAATATGATATTTTTATATACTCTAATTATATTCAAATAGATTTAAAAACGGATTCAAACTGAATTAAATGCATGAATATATGATCAATTCAAATACATCGAATATTGTCGTCGTTTTGAAGTTAACGGAGTTTTGTTTGTGCAATTTGTAACCTTCATTTAGTATTTAGTATTTTAAGTCTATATGATACTTTTAAATACCCTAAATATATTCAAATTGAGTTAAAAACGGATTGAAAATGAATTAAATACATGAATATATGATCAATTCAAATACATCGAATATTTTCGCCGTTTTGAAGATAACGGAGTTTTGTTTGTGTAATTCGTAACCTTCATTTATTATTTAGTATTTTAAATCTATATGATACTTTTATATACTCTAATTATATTCAAATAGAGTTAAAAACGGATTCAAACTGAATTAAATACATGAATATATGATCAATTCAAATACATCAAATATTGTCACCGTTTTGAAGTTAACGGAGTTTTGTTTGTGTAATTCGTAACCTTCATTTAGTATTTAGTATTTTAAGTCTATATGATACTTTTAAATACTCTAATTATATTAAAATTGAGTTAAAAATGGATTCAAACTGAATTAAATACATGAATATATGATCAATTCAAATACATCGAATATTTTCGCCGTTTTGAAGATAACGGAGTTTTGTTTGTGTAATTCTTATCCTTCATTTAGTATTTAGAATTTAAGTCTATATGATACTTTTATATACTCAAATTATATTCAAATAGTTTTAATCACGGATTCAAACGGATTTAAATACATGAATATATGATGAATTTGAATACATCGAATATTGTCTCCGTTTTGAAGTTAACGGAGTTTTGTTTGTGTAATTCGTAACCTTCATTTAGTATTTAGTATTTTGAGTCTATATGATACTTTTAAATACTCTAAATATATTCAAATGGAGTTAAAAACGGATTTAAACTGAATTAAATACATGAATATATGATCAATTCAAATACATCGAATATTGTTGCCGTTTTGAAGTTAACGGAGTTTTGATTGTGTAATTCGTAACCTTCATTTAGTATTTAGTATTTTAAGTCTATATGATACTTTTAAATACTCTAATTATATTCAAATGAAGCTAAAAACACATTCAAACTGAATTAAATACATGAATATATGAACAATTCAAATACATCGAATATTGTCTGCGTTTTGAAGTTAACGGAGTTTTGTTTGTGTAATACGTAACTGTGAAACAAATTTTAAGTATTTACTTAAAATTGATTGCAAATAATATTATGTGAGAATATTGGGTACAATCTCTAAATATGAATCCTCTGATTCTTCACTTGCAATTTGAAATAAATATAATTAAAGAAATTAATTCAAAATTAAATCTTTAATCCTTCAAACGTTCGAACGTTCTTCAGATCTTCAAATCTTCGTTCTTGAGATCTTCGAATCTTCGAATCTTCGTTTGTCAGATCTTCAAATCTTTTGAATTAAGAATTCAATTGAAGGGCCTCCGGTTTTCAAGTGGCTTGATCTTCAACAAAAAGGGCCGTTTTATGGCTTGATCTTTTGTTTAAGGGCCTCCCGGGATATATGGATTGATCTTCAATTGAATTTCAATTCAATCTTCATATGAGTATCTTCAAATCTTCAAAGATTCGTTCTTCATATATTCGAATCTTCAAAGTCTTGTTCTTCATATCTTCGAATCTTTAAGCTTCGTTCTTCAAATCTTCGAACGTTCTTCAACTTTTGGATTTATTTTTTTTAAGAATCGACGAAATCACGAAGGATTATTCGTATATTCTTAATAAATTCGTGGCTTAATTTATTCCTCTTCTTCGGAATCATTCAGAGCCTTTCGTGTGTTCTTGAAAGCTTTTCTGCAACGTTTCTTCGTCTGAAAATTCTCTTCCATTCCTCTCAACTGAGACCCCTATTTATAGGTGTAGAGGGAGTGAAATATGACTTAGGGTTCCCAAAATTCGTTCATATCATTTGGGCCCCAATTAAAATGGGCTTTGTGCTCCATTTGCTTGCATTTTAATAGCTAGAAAAATCAGCACTTGTTTGATATATCTAGATAGCTTTCTTAATAAGGTTCATAGCTATTTCTCATGCATATGGACTGATTTGTTAACTAGATTCTTCTTCCTTTTCATATATTGGATCATGCATCTTGTTTATTGGGTCATTTTTAATATTGGGCTCAAAATAAATAATTAATAGGACCGGTCCATTCTTTTAAAGGTTTAGTTTATAATTAAATCAATTGGGTATTTTTTTAATGACCCAAATTAATTCAATTATTAAATTTATCCGAATGGGTCCGTATTATTTTTTTTTAAGGCCCAACAACCATCTCGAGCAGCCCAACTGATTTGAACATTGGCTCAATAATTTTTATATGTCCACAAAAGCCCCCTCGAGACTTGCTTGGATGTACTGATTTAACCACGAACAAGTGAGTCTCGAAAATTAATTTTATTAACTCATCAAAATCAGCCCAAATTCATTAGGCGAGATCAACATAATTCATTTATTTAGAATTCTATTATTTCTAATAGGCCCAAAATGCGACGGCTCACTTTCTTGGTTTAAGAAATTAACATATGCACTCCCAACATTGAATTATGGAGTAATGGACTTCAATTGCAACTCATACTCAAAGAGTCCAAGTCTCAAACATTAGCTGGGAAATATCAAGTTATACGGAATGGAGCATTAAGTGGGAGAGTCCAAATTATCCTCAACTTTCAAGGATTTCTATCCAATTAAGATTATTGTTCTGCTGATTTTGAGATCTAAACTCTCCATCCATGTATAAATATCAATCGCAGCTTATGCTCTTTTGCACCTTCGATTTTTAAGACTCAAAGCTATCAAAGATTTCTGGAAGCAAAGTTCATAGCAGGAAAAACGAAAACCTGTTATTGCTGGTGCGACCTCAAAGTCTGAATTTCAGCAAGTTTCCGTTGGGAAGGAGATTCATCTGAAGGTGCAGTAGGGCCCATGTTGATTTCAGATTAAATTCCGTTCGAAATTGAAGTCGAACCAGTTCCATCGCAGGTTGTCATCTTGCCGCTGGAGAAGATAATATCCGTTCGATGTTCAATAGGAGCCGCCGTAGCTGTTTCAATCCGAAGAAACCATTGCCCAGTTGCTGTTGCTATTCGTTCTCCAAGAAGAATTAATCTGGCGAGGAAGATGAGATGGTGACGCCGCCTATCCGAGCTCGTTCAAGGAAGATGGACCACCAAATTGATGAATCTGCTATTGTGCCAAGAAGACAATGAAGGAGCCAGAATTCTGAAGAGGCGTAAAGACTGTGCAAGAGTAGATCGTTTCTCAAAGTTCAGAAGGTATTGACCATGGTTGCTGCAGTTGGAAGCTGGGTTGATGTTGCTGCTGGTTCGCTAGAGGAGAAGACTTGGCCGGGTCTTTGAAGTCGATTCCTGGTCGGAGAAGAAGGGTTGTCGTCGGAAGTTCGCGGTCAGAGGCAGAGCTGGAGATCGACGAAGGATGGTTTGTAGGTCTGCAACGAGATTCTGCAGTTTTGGAAAGCCACCATTGATTTCTTCCAATTCTATTTTTTTCATCGGTTAGAAGCGAACCTCTTGTGCGAAGAAGATGACTGGGGGATTGGGCCAGCTCTTTTAATAAACATTGGGCCTGTTTATAAATTGAGCCTTTCAATTTTTTTATGGGCTATCTTCAAAGATGAGCAGCTTTGAAATGATACCGAGGCCAGATTTTCTGCTATTTCAAGTAATGGCACCATTAATTGGAGATAAAGGAACTAGTCCTATTGTCGGTTGTCGGTGCTGCTTGGGGTCCTTCGTTGGGCTAGTGGCACCGATCTAAAGAATTAGGCTGATTGTCGGTCGTCGGTGTCGTTTGGGGTCCTTCGTTGGGCTAGTGGCACCGATCTAAAGAAGTAGGCGGATTGTCGGTCATCGGTGTCACTTGGAGCCTTTCGTTGGGTTAGTGGCACCGATCTAAGAAATTAGGCTGATTGCCGGGTGTCGGTGTCACTTGGGGCCCTTCGTTGGGCTAGTGGCACCAATCTAGAGAATTCGGCTAATTGCACTTGTTGAAGACTGAGATGTTGCCGCTACTTTCGACCTTTGTCCATTCTGAAGGAGCTTGACTAATTATTGGCCAGTGTTACTGATTTCTTTGTTCGTCTAGTCAGAAGATGAAGTCAATTTCTTGGGCTTGAGATTGATTATCATTGCTGAGCGGCCTTTTTATTATTATTATTATTACTTTAGTTTTTTTAGTAATAATAATAATGATGATGATTTTTTTTTGCAGTCCAAAATGATACCTTTTAAGGACGTAAGGCGTGGAGGCAAAAAGTATCTCTCCATATCAACGAGCAAGAAGAATGACAAAGAGATTCTTTTGGAGATGCACAAGCCATTTGCTCGCGAGTTTTGGGGTCCAACGGTTGTGTCCTATCGAGTTACAAACTGGACTCCTGAGTGCGAGTATCAAGCTCAGACAATGCGGACTTTAGTATCTGGCTTTACTCACATGTCCTCTTCTGAGATTCTTCCTTCTTTAGGTAGTTGCATCCTTGATGAAAACGCCTCTTTGACAAAGACCTTATCATTTGGTGGTGAGTTTAGATTCATCACAGGTTATTGGGACTGGGCCGAAGATATCTTGAGCATGAGTAAAAGCGTTCTGGAGGAAGGGCTTATTTATGATGTTGTTTATGCCTCATTATTCACGTATGACCGATGTACTAATGCTATTCAAGCATTTTGTGAGGCATGGTGTCCCACGACGAATACTTTGCTTACGTCAATTGGCGAATTGACGATCACACTTTGGGACTTGCACGTTATCGGAGGATTGCCTATCATAGGAGACGCATATGATGAATCTATTCCGGGCACTTCTGAGTTGTTAAATACGAGCGCTGACTGTTCATTTCATCTCTGCAAATATTTGTTTCACGCATATCATCATCTCTTTCCCAAAGCCGGAGATAAGCGTGTTTTGCGTGTTCATGCGTGGGTCAAATTCTGGTTCAGAAAGGCCTCCAAGTATACTATGCCTCTAGTGAGAACAGAAAAGAAACGAACATCTCGTGCCAAGGCGACCCATAATCCGAGCGGAGCTATTCCAAAATTTGGAGGATGGTCGAATTCTATGAAGGTACCATTCTATGTACTCAAGGTTCCTGCTGAATATGAGGAAGAGGTATATTTAGCGGCATTTTTATCGTGTTGGCTTTGTGCATTTGTATTGCCGCATGAAGGTCATAGAGTTATCCGCCCGGAAACATTCAGAGTTGCTTGTATGTTGGCTCGAGGGAAACGTGTATGCCTTGCGGTCCCGGTTCTTGCAAGTGTCTATCATGGGCTTAATCGGATCTCGAATGCTCCAGCTCCTGATCAAGTTAGAAAGTGTTTTCCCGTTCACTATGTCTATGGATGGTTGGCATCATACTTTGATACGCATTTTAAGAATGAGATCCAGTCCGCGACGCCATTAATGATTTCTTATTCAGGAGAAAGTGGAGCGAGATCCATCGAGAAGAGAAGTGCGCGCAAACGAATTTTCCAGGGAGATGTATCAGCATGGGTGTGTTCTACACATCGGAGAATCAAAGAATATTCAGTCTTCGATGGTAAAAATCCTCCAGAGGCTGAGTTGGCGCTTTTTAGGAGTCTTCGGTCTAATTGTCTTGTATTACGCTACCGGGATCATTGCATTGCTGAGCCTTACACTCCTCGCCGCTTTAGTCGCCAATTTGGGTATTTTTAGGCTTATGCTTCTGGCTTTCTTGAAATGCGTAATCGGAGTGTCACACTTGCTGCTGGCTTTCAACTTTGGGTACAGTTTGAGCACGGCATGTCACAAGCTGAAGCGGTATTTCCGACTCCTCCTACTATTCCAGTGAAATTTTATTCATTGCAGTATAAAGAATGGTGGGGTCAAGTTCATGGAAGTTATTTGGAGAATCATGTGAGCGACTTGATCAAGATTTGCGATCTTGAGGTTGGTGATGTGAACACCCCTTCAGATCCTGTGACTCCAATCTCCAAGAAGAAAAAAATGCCTGATACTGAAGCTAAGTCTTTGTCTCAGAAAAAGGCTAAGCTTGTATCACTTAGGTCTGAAGTTTTGATTAAGGATGGTGAGAAGGAAATGTCTCCTGCCAATGAAAGGCAGAGTAGTGATGAGAGGAACTGGAAGCATTTTAGGAAACCTTATGTTGGGCGACTGAAGGTTAGTTTCATCATTTCATAGTTTTATTTAAAGCGTGTACTTATATTTTTTTCTTTTGCAGATTCATGTAGTCCTTGATGATGCTAGTTCCTCGAATCGTGTTTCTTCATCTAGCTCAAGTGAAGGAGAAAGCGCAGATCATGACACTGTCGCTGGATTGATAGCAGAAACCGGCCCAAGTCATTGCAAAGAAGTTCTGATCCATGAAATACCCAAGTCTTCTCATGCGAAACCGGCTGCATCTGTATTCCATGCAGAAGACTACTTCTTTACTTTGTATAAGCAGATCATCATTAATACTTGGAGTGGCATTCAACAAAAGTTAGGACGGGCTACATTAGAGAACGTCTCATCTCTTCGGAAGAGTGTTGAGAATTGTGTTATCTTGATGGAGAAGGAGGGCATTGACCTTTCCATGTTGAAGACGAGAGTGAAGCATTTCTTTGAAAGGGCACAAGCATTTGATCAGACGTGTTTGACTGTTGCTGATAGGGTTCCTTCTGAGAAACAATCTCAGGAATTGGCTATGTCGCAGGCTTTTTGTGAAGATATTGAAGCTAAGAGATCTCAAAACCAAGTGGCATTACTTGATGATGAGAAATCTCTTAATGATATCAAGAAGAAGATAACCTTATTGGAAGCTGAAGCTAAGGAAGTAGAAGTTTCGATCTCCGAGCGTCGTGTAGAGACTAGTGACTTAGATGCAGCTCTTACGAAGGCTAAGGAGGAATCTTCACGGATTTTGAAGACTATCAAAGCATCAGATGAAGATCAATTTGCTTTAAGTACTCAGAAGAAGGAGCTAGAGGCCTTGAAGGATGACTTAGTTAGCTTTAAATTGTTTTTAGGTTGATACTTAGCTCTTAGATTAGCTTTTCGTCAGCAAACAACTCTTTTCCTTACTTCTTACCAAACTATATATGGATATTTGCTCCCTTTGTTGCTTCTCATGAGTTGATATTTCCTTGCTTCTTCTTCTTCTTCTTCTTTTGTTTTTTTTTTGTTTTTTTTCAATGTGACTGAGATCAAACTTTATTGAGGGTTTGTGTTATTATAACTGAACTTTAAAATGAAACTTTCGAGCTGCCTACGTACTCCTATGAAGGAGATCAAGTCAAACGTAGTTCATAAGTACCATTCGAATTGGTAATCTAAAGGAGGGGACCGTACACAGTTTTAACTCATGCGGGCCAGGAGCTTGCCGTACACATTTTTAACTCTCGTGGGCCAAGAGCTTGTCGTACATATTTTAAACTCTCGTGGGCCAAGAGTATCTATGATTACGCTCACCCATAGACAAGGTGAGATGTTTTAGCAGTTTAGCCACTTACAACATCATTGGTGGTTTAAGCCATTCAACATTTCTTATGGCCATATCCATACCCCAAATATCAAGGGTAGTAGAGCTTTAAAAATCTTCCATTGATCGGGCCAATCTTTGAGCCATCTCCATCGACCAACTTGTAGGCACCGCCTAAATATACTTCTTGAATAACATAAGGACCATCCCATTTAGGTGAGAATTTGTGCCCCGTTTTTCGTGTGATAATGATAGGTCTTCTCACAGCTAGAACTTTATCACCAACTTGAAATGAGCGAATTCTAACCCTTTTGTTGAATGATTTCGATGGACGAGCCTGATAGCATTCTAGGTTCTGCTGAGCTTCTAACCTCTTTTCATCAAGTGCCTCGAGTTCTGTCAACCGCAACTTGACGTTTTCTTCATCAGTGAGTCCTTCTTGAATAGCCAATCTCAGAGATGGTATTTGGCGCTCAAGGGGGAGGACTGCTTCGGTACCATACACCAAAGAATATGGAGTGCTTTGGGTAGGTGTTCGATAAGTCGTTCTATATGCCCATAATGCTTCTTCCATTCTTTCGTGCCAATCCCTCTTTGATTTTGACACTACTTTCTTCAGCAGGTTGCATAGAGTCTTGTTAAAAGCTTCAGTGAGGCCATTGGCGGCGGCATAGTACATAGAGGACTTCCGTTGCTTGAAATCAAATAACTTGCATATCTTGTCCATCAACTTGTTGTCAAAAGGTTTCCCATTGTCCGTCAAGATATATCGGGGCATACCAAAGCAGTAGATGATATGAACTCGGATGAAATCAGCAACATTTTCCTTCTTCACCTCTTTCAATGCAACTGCTTCGGCCCATTTTGTGAAGTAATCAGTAGCGGCTAGTATGTATGAATGCCCTCCTGATGAGCTAGGCGTGATTGGTCCAACCACGTCAAGTCCCCAAGCGTCAAATGGCCATGATGCTACTGCCGGATGCAAAGGCTCTGGTGCTTGATGGATGAAATTTGCGTGATATTGGCATGCTTGACATCTTATAGCATAGTCCATGCAATCCTTTACCATGGTCGGCCAATAATATCCCATCCTCTTGATATGAAAGTGCAACTTAGGACCAGACTGATGAGCTCCACATACTCCTGAATGCGCTTCCTCCATTGCTTGTAAGACTTCATCTCCACCCAAACATCTAAGGAATACACCCTCAAATGATCTTTGATAAAGTGTATCCTTATAGTAGATGAAACGTGGTGAACGCCTCTTCAAGTCCACTTTCTTGCGAGGATTTTTAGGTAATTTCTCCTCAGTAAGATAATCAATGAGTGGCTGCCTCCAATCTTCATTTTCAATATCATAAACCGAGGTAGTTGGCATTTCGACTATCTCTTCGGCTGCACCATCGTCTTCGATGAAAGGAGGAATTGCCCATTTTTTACATACCCGTACTTGAGTTCCGTCTTCAAGATGTGCCATGTTTGATGCTAACCCTGCCAGTGCATCGGCTTGCTCGTTTTCTTTTCTTGGCACATGTTCAATTGTAACTTCACCCAGCCATCCTATGAGTGCCCTTGCATATTTGTTGTAAGGATGCAGTTCAGGTTTCCTTACTTCATAAATTCCAAGCACTTGATTGATGATTAGTTTTGAATCGCCATAGATATTAACTAGTGCTTGCTTCATGTCTACAGCTATTTCAAATCCGAGAATGAGTGCTTGGTATTCAGCGACGTTATTGGAGCATTGTTCCGTGAGCGTGAAAGCATATGACAGAACTTGACCTTCGGGTGTAACAAAGACCACACCAGCTCCAGCACCTTCTCTATGTGCAGCTCACTCAAAATACATCTTCCATGGAGGCAAAACTTCAATTATGAGCACATCTTCATCAGGTAGATCATCAGAAAGTTCCCACTCAGCAGGGATAGGGTGATCGGCTAGGAAATCTGCCAAAGCTTGTCCTTTTACAGATTTTTGTGAGACATAAACGATCTCAAACTGTTGAAATATCAAGTACCACCTAGCAAGACGATCAGATAGAACCACTTTGGACATCACATACTTCAGCGGATTTGCTCTGGAGATAAGATTTATCGTGTGAGCTTCAAAGTAGTGTTTAAGCTTCTTGATTGCAAATATAAGGGCCAAACAAAATTTCTCAATGGGCAAGTACTTCAACTCGTGTGGGGTCATCATTCTGCTTAAATAATAAAGGGCATTCTCCTTCCCTTTATCATTTTCTTGAGCTAATAAAGCTCCCACAGACCTTTCTTGAGCAGCAATGTAAAGTATCAAAGGGCGGCCGGAGATAGGTGCATTTAGGACCGGTGGTTTCATCAAATAAGCCTTGATATTTTCAAACGCATTCTTACACGTTTGGTCCCATATGAAAGGCACACCCTTCTTCATAATTCGACTGAACGGTTGACATCTTCCAGATAAGTTCGAAATGAACCTTCGTATGTAGGCTAGTTTCCCTTGCAAACTCTTCAGCTCATGAATATTTCGAGGCTCTGGCATATTCACGATAGCATCAATCTTGGCTTGTTCTATCTCAATGCCTTTGTGACGGACAATGAAGCCCAAGAATTTCCCGGCTGAAACTCCGAAAGCGCACTTCAGAGGGTTCATTTTGAGACCAAACTTCCTCAAGCGATCAAACAATGTTCTTAAGTGTGACAGATGTTCGCCTCCGACTTTTGACTTCACCACTAGGTCATCAACATAGCACTCCACGATTTTGTGGAGAATATCATCAAATATTGCCTGCATAGCTCGTTGATAAGTCGCTCCGGCATTCCTAAGTCCAAATGGGATGACCGTGTAACAATAAATCCCCTTAGGAGTTCGGAAGGTAGTCAATTCTTCATCTGCGGGAGCCATCCGGATCTGATTATAACCAGAGAAACCATCCATAAAAGACATAATTTCATGTCCAGTCACAGTATCTATCATCAATTCAATGATTGGAAGTGGAAAATCATCTTTTGGACAAGCAAGGTTAAGATCCCGAAAATCAACACATATTCGGATTTGTCCATTTTTCTTTCTGACCGGGATAATGTTGGATATCCAAATAGGATATTTCACTTCTCGAATGAATCCGGCCTTAATAAGTTTATCAACATCTGCTTCAATTAATGGAATTAAATCTGGGCGGAAGCGCCTTTGAACCTGATTTACTGGTCGGCATCCTTTCTTTATCGCTAAGTGATGAACAGCGATTTTTGGATCCAACCCCGACATTTCTTTGTATGTCCATGCAAAGACATCCTTGTATTCTTGGAGTAAGGCCACATACTCTTCTTTTTCTTCGCTCGATAGAAGAGCACTGATATAAATGGGACGAGGGTCCTCTTCGGTGCCAAGATTTACCTCCTTTAGTTCATCCAAGGCTGTTCGCACTCCTTCAAATTCCGGAGGAGCTTCATCAGCATCTTCACCTTCGACCGGGATTTCATCACCAAGGGTAATATGGTAAGATGAGGCAATGTATTCCTCGTCATCAATCAGTTCATCATATTTGAACTTATTGTCTGCCGGCATTCGAGTATGAATAATTGTTTTCAACTGTACTTTGAGAGTTTCTCCACATGAGACTTGCACATCAGTTTCTCGCCTCATTCGGGATAGAATCAAGCTTCTATATTCATTCAAAACTTGTGTTTTTGTATATTTGTTGAGAGACTTCTTGCGTGAGCGAACTTTCCCCAACCTTTCATGTACCGGCTTTCTCTCAAAGTTTTGGCCACTACATGGGTCTTCCATGTGCTTTACCATGAAGGGGATCATTCCAAGACTTTCTTGTAAAGTTTTCTTCACGATCTTCTTTGGCTTTGGCCCCATTCTATCAAAGATGGCGGGTTTTGATTTTGCCCCCCCCCCCAATCTGATCAAAAACGGAATACTTCAATTTAGAAGTCACCTCATCTTCTTCATCCGCACTGATATGATGCATTGCGGCTCTATTTATGAGGATTCTTATGGGTTTTGGCTGAACGTAACCCAACCCTGTACGTCCTCGAAGATTGATCTGCTTCGATGGTCCTTCTCCACCAGCTTCTGGAATGAGTTTTCCTAACTTCTGTTCATTAGGATTATACCCAGCCTTGGCCAGAAGTTTGTATGCATTTGGGTCAAATCCTTCATTAGTGCGTGCCTTAGGGATTTGAAACTCCTTAACATCATCCTTGTGCTTTCTTTCTTCCTGAGACATGTCATGAGGAGGCCTTGATATCTCGATCTTTGCAAGAGGGAACGTAAGCCTTTCTATGCCTTCAACAACTTTCTCTTTTAGCTTTGGTTGGATCAAGGGGCGATATTCTTCTTCGTGTCTAACATCGTCTTCATTAGAAACTTTGGTCTTTTGGTAAAACTTTGCATCTGCAAAGTATGTCTCAGCTTCGGTGAATGGAGTTTCATCGGCCACTACCTTCTTTACAACACCGTTCTCCTCATACATGAAGCATTGGTGCCACATTGAAGGAATTACACCGTTCTCATGGATCCATGGACGGCCTAGAAGGAGATTATATGAAGCCTTTGCATATATGACATGACATAAAGTACTTGCCTTCAACCCACCAATGACCAAATCAAGACGTATCATTCCAATCGCCCTTTGCCCCCCTTGATTAAAGCCTTGAATCATTAAGCGGCTTTGAGAGAGTTCATCCATTGATATATCAAGATCTTTCATAGCTCGAACCATCAAAATGTTAACGGCAGACCCTTGATCTATCATAATTCTTCTGAATCTTCGCCACCGAGTGTATCCTTCAACAAAAAGTGGACGGTTATGGAGGGTAGTACCCAACATAAGATCTTCGTCTTTAAAGACAATGGCAGTGGCGTATGCAGTAGATTTTTGTACTTCA